GCCACGAGGGAAAGTGATATTTGAACATGACGACTGCCCGGTGTGAACTGTCCAATCAATTTAGCCATCGTTTTTCCCATAGAAATCCGGTCCTCAGACTGTCCTGTGTACATATCTGGAAGAGCATAGTGCTAAGAACTTTATATACATCTGTAGCCCCGAACACGTTCAAATGCTCAGTTCATTTTTGCTGGTTACTTGAGGTGTTGTACTCAATAGGGAGTTTGACAGATCGGAAAACGAGTTTTCCCGTTTTGTGTAAATTTTGGTGAATTGTGGATTCAAAGCTGTTTGGTCGTAATCAGCTCTAAATATTGGAGCGGCTATTTAATCACTTAATAAGTTGTTCCTCTTTCTCCAGTTTGAGATTTGGATCGTCCCGCTCAAATGACGCGGTGTAGTGCTCAACTAATTTGAATTTGGTAAAGATCATCAAGTTCATCCGGAAATGAACCGCAGGACTTTTTAAGGCATGTGCGTCACACGACGCCGTCGTAGATCACAAATGATTTAGGTATCATAATGTCAGTTGGCCGTTTAGTTCTAGCTAAGTTTTGCATGGTCTCTTCAAAGTACGTTCAAATCAGCGTCAAGTCCGGTGAGGTCAAAGTTGACCTCTTAGAATTAACTATACGACATTGGCGCAAATGCAGCACAGGTCACGGTTTTGTTCTTCAGTGTAAGTGAAGGTCACGTTCACTAGTCTTTTCAGAAAGTTAGGTGAAGACGTTCGGTAGTATTATTCGGTTTATTGAGAGAGTTTTCCCGATTTTGAGTGATGGTGCGCATCCCGCGAGTGCTCTCCGAAGTCATAAGTTACTACGCAGTTATCCTCCGCTCTACAGCATTAATTAAGACAAATTCGGTTTGAATATGCCATAATCTGAGCTACTAACCTTAATTTGACAGTTACAGTCAAATGGGTTCCCTCCTTGTTATGTATACAGTCCAGATGGCAGCCAGTTTGTCCGGACTGGTACCATTTCAAAGATTTGTCCTGTGCGGTGCAGACC